TTGGTTGAATAGCGCGAGGTATGCCTTAGGTCTGAGGCAGGAGCTTAACGAGTCAAGTTGCAAGACTGCATAATATGACTTGTCGCTGATAGAACTTAGGCTTGTAAATATTAGATGAATACTTTGAAAGCGTAAAGCTTTTTTTTCTGTAAGCGAAATGGTCGTTTTTTGTTGTCTCAAGCTTACTCCCAGTTTTGTTTGAACAACCTACCTGGAAAAATATTGACAACTATGTTGAGCGGCAAAACCAGTACTTAATGATAAAACGCTGAAGACATCTGTCTTTTTGCCTGTTTATGTGTGTACTCCTGTCTATCACGAAATTCATAGAGCTAGCTGCAGGCAATGTCTCAGCCAGAATTTTCATTACATACTGTACCAACACGTAAGCTCAGTAACCTCAATATACTCAAGAGTTGTGCGATACGTAGATATTCCAATGCTGCATGTCAAATGGGTCCACGCGGCTTGAAAAACTGGGGCGATATTTAGAGTTTTTGCAAAGTGTGAATGTGTTTGGAAAATTGATCGCCTGCTGATAGCTTAAAAAGCGATCAAAAAATTTTACCAAAAGGGATGATTATAGGACTTCAATTTGTCAAGGTTTGCCTCAGAAGTGTACAATTGTTATCGTCTTGGCAACTTTCAAGCCAAAATGAAGTCACTAACTGTTTCATAGACGCATTTGCTTCTCTGCAAAAACAAGCTCCTAAAGCTACCGATCTTCATGAAAACCTGAGAAACAAGTGATTGTTTGCGATTTATTCGTTAGTAAGCAGTTGCGATGAGTTTCAAGTTATTATCATGCGATAATGAGAAAGCGTTGATAATAGAGCCAATGCGAACTTCCACCAAGCAGAGGTGCCCCACTGGTAAAGTATAAGCCAACATAATATGGAGAGGGACAGGAGAAGATAAAAAACAGTGCTTAGTAGTGGATTGATTTCTGCTCGTGATCGTGGCCCAGGAGAGCTTTGTCAAGCGAACATAAAGTTGCAAACTTTTTGTCGTCGGTCACAATCTGCTGAGAAATTCGTATTCTCTCATTCTGATGTGGTATTCATACTCAAACTGAACGGAAGGCTGAGAGCACTGGCTTTAAAGGCAGTGTTCAGGCAAAATTGGGCACATGGGTTTTTTGCCTGAAAACTGATGAATAGGTTCTAAATAAGACACTGTCCAAGCGCGAGCGCAAATGATTAAGTTACGGCTGAGAAATCCGTCCGCAAACCCTCCGCGCCTTCGCCATGACCGTAACCCGAAAGTGAGTGGGCTCATATTAACAATACGTTCGCCCTGGGATCCGTCCTAAATTACTCGCGAGTTACTGTCAAGGCGCAAGCGGGGAGGGTTTGGGGACGGATTTCTCAGCCGCAATTGAATCATTTGCACTGCCGCTTGGCAGTGCCTTAGCTAGGACCTCTTCATCAGTTTTACGGCAAAAAGCAGTATACCCAGTTCTGCCTGGATACTGCCACTGAGAAGGGTTTACTAGAATAATACTAAGAGTTTTGCGAAGGTGGATTGTGTTAGTGCCTGAGGTACTGGGATGCATCAGACTCACCAGGTTTACGATTATTCAAGTTCAGCTGGCCATTTTATTTCAGCTATAATCAGCTATTCCCATAATGGATGAAAACACCAAATAATGAATAAAATAGCTTATGTGCAAACATTGGTGCCCATAGAAATTGAAAATACAAAAAAACTAAACAGCCACAGCGCTGGAAAATTTGTAATGCTAAGTATGATTAACTAGTTCTCTTCTTCTTATTCTTTCCTGTTTTCCTTCAACAAGTTGCTGCTGGGTGGAGCGTCATCAGCTCGTAAACTACCACAAAACTTTTTATCGAGATATGACGAGTTTTCCAGCAAAACTCGGTTATTCGGCCGATACTGCAACTGTAATCGTCTGTTTCCCAAATAACGATTACGACTGTTGTTCCAATTGAGCAACATCATTTTTATCTCCCTAGCATACAGTGATGGGAAAGAAGACCGAATGAAATATTTAACAAGCTTTTTCATGGACCGTGAGGGGTTAGTTTCTATAGCTGTAGAATGCGCTTCAGGGTGACGACTGCTGTCATGGACCCCTCATTATTTTGGTAGTCGGTGCTACACTATTGGAATATACGTCGAAAGGGGATATCTCACTCAAAACTGAGCGAATTTCGAAGCACACACTTTCTGTAGCATTTTCGTTAAGAAATGTCGAACTAATAATCGAAAATTCACGCCTCAGGCTCGTTTTGTGACAAGCAAGACTTCATGTAAAGCACTCCCGTATACATTATTTCTTATTGTCACACAAAGGGCCGCTTGTATTAACATCATGCCAGACAGAGGAACGCAGCTCAAAGAAGCTTTATATCCTGAAGTTTCAGATGTTCTGGATTTCATCTTGTCCACCTGTCCGCAAGTATTCTTACAATCCTTCACTGTAAACATATTGAGTAGGAGCGAGAAGTTGTACAAGCCGCATTTTTTAGCTTTTTGTGCGATTTCCTAGTGATTCCCAGCATCCGACCGTCTTTTTTTAGTCATTTTTCTTTCTTCAAATTCAACGAAAACGTGCCAAGTTGTACTGATATCTAAACGAAGTGCTAAGCATGTTATATATTAGAACAAATGAGCTATTAAATTTCGAATTTTTCGATAAACCCTAACTACTTGTGGTTCGCAAATTTCGTACCTCCGATACATCATGTGTTCTTATCAAAAACATGCTCAGCACTGTTGGATCAGATAATCAGTACAACTTAGGAATGTTTTAATTAACTTTGAAGAAAGAAAAATGACTTTGAAGAAGAAACGCCCTGCCGCGGGGGATCATTAGGGTATCACACAAAAAGCCGTATGCGGCTTGTACAGCTTCTTGCTCCTATTCAATATGTTTATAGTGAAGAACAGGAATACTTCGCAGAAAGGTAGACAGTGAAATCCAGATATCTAAAGCTTCAGGATATAAAGCTTTTTTTGAGTTGCGATCCCCTCTCAGACAATGGATCGGACCCCTCCGCTGGGCAAGCCGAAACTGCCAGACTCGCGCCGGACCCAATTGACCAATGAGAGCGGGGCAAATGGGCGGTCCCTCGCGTGACATCACTGCCAGGCAAATGGGAGGCTTCTCCGGCCCTGCTGCAAAGGTCCGCCATTTCTCCGGCGCGACCCTGGCAGATTTGCCAGGCTCGCGCCGGACAAATTTGTCCGGCGCGAGCCTGGCAAATCTGGCGGAGTCGCGCCGGAGAAAATGGGAGGGGTCCGGAGCAGAAATGGGAGGCCTCCGGAGCAGAAATGGGAGGTATCCGGAGCAGAAAATGGGGGGTATCCGGAGCAGAAGATGGGAGGTCTCCGGAGCAGAAAATGGGAGGTATCCGCCGGAGAAATGGGAGGTATCCGGAGCAGGCTGCGTATCGATTTGGCGCGTAGCAAGCAAACGTATAACTCCACGGTGATGAGTTCTCTGTTTACGCTCTTTGTCCATATTTTAGTCGCCGTTTCTTTGATTCTGTTGTTTTTGCGCGTTTCTTTACCGTTTTTTCCTTTTCCGCGTTGCTCTTCGTCGCGTTGGCGTTTATATTGCTGTAAGTTCCTCGTTTTCAGGTTTATGTTTGAAATTTTCGTGCGGTTGCACTCAATCACCTTCAGTGTTTGGCTCTTTCCGACTTGCTGAGACATCGTAGACTATTGATGGAGTGGTTTTTGTGATTAATTCTGGATTTTCGAAACAATGAGGTTAGTTGCGCAACTATCTAGTGTTGTTGTGATGAAAGTATCGTCTAAATAATCCTTGTTGTTGTTCCGTGTCACGTTGCGTTTTCTTCTTTCATATCCTTTGTGCCTACTTCAGTTGGTAAGGGCTACGCTTGCAGTTCTGGCTTATCCCATATCATCGGCAGTCCGTCGTCCTTATGGTTATTTTAGAGCTGCTTCTTGCAAACTTCATCTATCTTCATCGATCGTTCACTTCATTATTCACAATCGTTTCTGGTTCAAGTTTCTTTGAATAAAGCAAGTTTTTAGCATGGACTACTTGTTGGATCGGTATTTGTTCGATAACTTGCCTTTCACAGTCTCGCCTGAAACTAGGAAAGGTATAGGTCAGAAAGCTGTCACCATGGTCCAGGTGAGGTTTTGTACCGTGTTACGGTGAGGTCTTTAGTGAGTTTTTGGAAAGCTCTTTTCTTTTACTTTATCTCCATGAGAAAGTTGCTCAATTTCAAGCAGTTTAATTCGGTATCAGCTTCATGTCTTCCAGGCGTTCAGTCACAATTATATCACATGCTGCTTTTCAGTGGGCGGATTGGTTTTGCAAATACAAAAGTCCCGTAGAATTGATCCAGAATAACCCGTACTTTTTCGCTGCTGAGCTCGTCTTTGGATTTTTATGTATGCTCACATTTGCTCATGGTATGTTTTAGACTTCCTTTTGTATCTTATTCAAATCACTATTCGATATCAAATAAGCCTATCGTCATGGCGGTCGGTATCTATACACATGGATTGCCGTAACTGTACATGCGTTTGTCATCGAAACACTAGTATCTCTGTACCAGAATTGAATCTTTATTGGCATGCACAGGTATTTATCTTTCTTCTCAGCAACACTCGACTTCATAATTATCCTGTTTAGGGTATGTTGAGCTTTTTTGGAATGAGAGTTCCTCTCTATGCCCTTTTTGGATTTCATCAAATGTTTCTCTACACATCCTATGTCCTTGTTAGCAGGTATCTCATGTACAGGGCTTTTCAACCTGAGAGTCGCAAGTTTCGCTTGCGCGGCTCCTCCAACGCGGCCGCCTCGCTCAGGCCGCGCGCGGCGTTTGCTGCGTATCCCCCGGATTTCGCCAAGCTTCAGTCGACGCGCAGCCAGCGCCACGAACGCTGCGCGGACCTAAGCGTGGCGTCCTAGCGGGGCGGGTGGGACACTCAGGTTGTAAAGCCCTGTACACATTTATTAGTCCACAGAATTTTCATACATTTTTTACTAGCGGGAAAATCTTCCGATCAAAATTGTAGACGTAAATTTTAACGGATAACGGTTAAGAGTTTCTGCACGGTCCTGTTTTTCGAACAGCTTGTGAAGGGGGGCGCCTACCCCGTTCCCCCCCCCCCCGACTTGTTGCTTCATTAAAAATTGATCGCTGGTTAATCCTTCTTCAACTTTTTTCACCAATACAGGTCAAGTCAGCTCAGGCCTTATAACAGTAACAGTAATTTCAGTCTTGGATAGAAATCACTTGTAAGTTCCCCTTGTCCACTTTGGTGATTGTGAGCGTAAATTTATATTTATTGCCATTTCAGAATGCGCCTACCTTGGTGGGGTGAAGGGCCTGCAGTTGGCCTGAGTTCTGTGATGCTTCAATTACCATTCCGTATGTTAGGTACGAAATTGCTGTGGTGGACGTGGCACGATACTGATCCAACGATTGAAGACAGGTCTTTTTTCGTCTTTTCTTGGTGTCCTCGATTTTCCACATGCATACAGAATGTTCTGGACTCCATGGAGCTCTTTATACTATTATGCCGCATGTGCTTGTTCTTTTGTATGGATGCTCCGACTAACTAGACGCTTGCTGCTTGAAAAGGAGTATGACTGGATGAAGTAAGCGGTCATCTAATGTAAGGTGAGCTGGAATTCAAAACGCGCCATCTTCAGATTCCCAAAGGAGTTGACATGCTCCTTTCTAACTGGAGTACTGTCGTACTGGCTAGGAACCGCACAGTTTGTCTGTTTTGTTTCATGTTGCACAGAATGCTTTTTTGATCTTTTTGTCATTTTTTTACCATGTTAAAACCATATGCTTATACTGTGGTGTTACAAGGTTCTTTTTGCAACAAGGAAATTAGTTTTTCTTTCAATATTCTTATCTCTAACTCCTAGTATGGTTTTTGTAATATGAATTAACTGTTGTACGTATGCTGGAGATAGATAGATAGATTTTTCGAAAGTTTGAAAAATTTGAAATAAATGTCTTATCTCTTCGTTCTTTCTTCTATCTTCTATCCACAAACGCTAGGGGTGAGAGGGAGGGGGTAGAGTACGGGGTGAGGGTCGCGCTAAACTCCTACCCGGGGGGGGGGGGGGTCCTATTCGGCTTATTTGGGTGGGGTTTAGAGACAAAATTGGGGTTTGGAGCTTAAAGGCAGCGTCCAGGCAAGTCTGGACCTATGGGGATTTTACATGGAAAGTATTTTGGGGCCCTAACTAAGCCACTACCCAACCGGCAGCTCAAGTAATGCTCTAACACCTAAGATATTCTGCTCGAAACCGGACCCCGCGACCGTGTTTCGCATGGATTCATGGCGCAAAGCGTGGATCCTGGCGCGAAACTGCCATGAATCCATGCGAATACGTTCGCGGGGGGTCTGTTTCGAGGGGAATATCTCAGCCATTGGAGCACTACCTGAGCTGCTGCTTCGGCAGTGCCTTAGTTAGGGCCCCAAAAGTACTTTCCATGTAAAAGCCCCATAGGTCCAGATCTGCCTGGAAGCTGCCTTTAATTAGGGCTAATTACAGTATGCCGCGATCGGGGGGCTCCGGCGCACAAAATCGGGGGGCTCCGGAGCAGAAAATGGGAGGTATCCGGAGCAGAAAATGGGGGGTATCCGGAGCAGAAATGGGAGGTCTCCGCCGGAGAAATGGGAGGGCTCCGCCGGACGAATGGGTGACCCACCGCTGGGGAAACGCCGCGACCCTGCCATTTCCCCAGCGGAGGGGTCCGATCCATTGTCTGAGCTCCCGGCGGGGATGTTAATGCGTGCGGCTCATGATCACTAAGGGCCGCATGCATTAACATCCCCGCTGGGGAGGGGATCGCAGCTTCAAAAGAAAGCTTCATATCATAAAGCTTTAGATATGTGGATTTTACGCTGTCTATCTATCCGTAAGTACTCCCACCATCCTTTACTGTGAACATCTTGAACGGGAGCAAGAAGCTGTACAAGCCGCATTTTCCAGCTTTTTGTTCGATCCGCTGATGATCCCTGGCTGCCGACCGTCTTTTCAATAAAGTCATTTTTCTTTTTTCGAAGTCAATAAAAACATTCCAAAGTTGTGCTGTTTATTTAACCCAACAATGCTAATCATGTTCCTGGTAAGATCAAGTGATGTTTCGAAGCCATGAAATTTGCGATGAACCTCAAGTCGAACATTGGGGTAAGAAATCGATATTCCAAAAACCCACTTGTTCTTATCAGCAACATGCTTAGCACAGTTGGGTTAGATAATCAGTACAACCTTGAAAGGTTTTCGTTAACTTCGAAGAAAGAAAAATGATTTGAACAAAAGACGCCCGGCCGACTTGAGGTTCATCGCAAATTTCATGGCTTCGAAACATCACTTGATCTTACCAGGAACATGATTAGCATTGTTGGGTTAGATAAACAGCACAACTTTGGAATGTTTTTATTGACTTCGAAAAAAGAAAAATGACTTTATTGAAAAGACGGTCGGCAGCCAGGGATCATCAAGGGATCATACAAAAAGCCGGAAAATGCGGCTTGTACAGCTTCTTGCTCCCGTTCAAGATGTTCATGGATAGATAGACAGCGTGAAATCCAGACATCTGGAACTTCAGGATATGAAGTTTGCTTCTAAAGCTAAATGCATGCGGCCCTCATTGTACCATCAAAATGATAATCATCATTACAGGCTTACTTCTGATTATGATACGTTACTTGTAATAAGGCGCTTACTCTCTGTTTTTTAACACATGGAAAAAAATTTGCGTGCTGACCGACTTAGGCATGCTACGGTATCGTCATCCAGGTAGTAGCTCAAATGCATACAACACCCTATCAAAGCCAAATGACTCAGTTTGACGTCATTTCAATTTTCCACCACTTTTTGAGGCAGATCTTCATCTAAAGGCCTTCTTTCCATATTCAGTTATATGTCAATTATACATACTAAGAAGCTCATAACTCGCTTCAGAGGAACGATTCGTAGCTAGGGACAGCATATTTGGAATCAGCATTCCGAGATGATTCTAAATATATGCGTCTCATTTCAAAAGGCCGACCTAAGTTAAGTGACTTCCCTTGTTAGGATTAAACTTTATTGAGCTTTATAAGACGCTTCCAATGCGTAAGTTTACTGATACGTTTTGTATTGGCCAGTGCAAGCGTCTGTAAAGCCGAGGATGGAACTTTGAACAAAAAGCATGACGACAATGTACAAGATGGATAAAGTCATGTTATATCAATTTATGAATCTGGCTTTTGGATTTGCGATCCGTAGTATCCCCAATTGTAGAGGGCAATTTCTGCAACTAATCTCTTCTTTCTTACGTGGACCATGTATCCTAATGTCAGGGATGAATTATAGTTTTTTAGAATCGAGAAACTCTCCATAGTCACCTTTGGCAAATAACAGAACAATGCTTGTTCTTTGATGCCTTATGCATGCCTTGCTTAAATTCTGCCACATATGCTTGAACCTTTGTTGCTCTAATTTCTTCCAGTTCTTCTATTCTTAGGCGAGAAAAAATAAGAATATTCATTAGAGCAGTTGTGGCGGAAGGGGGCCCTCTGTTTCATTCCAATAAGTAAAAATCATCATCGGATCTGATTTTGTGTATCTACAACATTTCGGTGAAAAAGCAAGGTTGAAAATTGCGGCGGTGCAAAAATTTTTGAGGTACATTATGTACTTACTAAGTGCTCATTTTTATTTTTGCAGGTTGTTCATAATGAACCTGTAGTCAGTTGATGTTAACACACAATCCTTTACTGTTACGTCCAAATCAAGAACAAGGAGAATTCTTAGAAATATCTTCTCACGGATGTAGTCAACTGTCGAATAGCGTTTCTTAAAGTTTCAGAGAGTTGCGAAAGGATCCACTGTTAATCAGCGGTGAAGCAGTAACAAAAGGAAAAATATTGAGAATCTCGGAGTTTAAGGCGCGCGCTGCGTACGCAGCGTGTGTTGAAAACGTTTCTTGCGCCGAGTACGTACGCTGGCATGCTGCCAGCACTTGCCTGGGGCGGTGTATGAGCTGTTCTTATGTCCCTGGGCATCTTTACATGATTTTAGACGCGACACAATTTGGCAATATTCCAACTGTCCATAACTTATCGTAAGGGGTTTCTGGATGTACGGAAAATAGGCATTTTATCAACCTGCAGAAGTCATACATGCTATGCATTCGAGGTCTACCAGTATTGAGTTTGAAGAAATCTGGCATGCTAGATCGCATGGAGACTGAAATCGCACGAGGTATGCCACGGCCTATGGAGGATGAAAAAATTGAGTTACAGCAACCATTGATATCACTGTATCACTGCAAACATTGGCAGCGTGCCGAGCGTATGCAGCAAAGTCCAACCTTTCCAATTCCTTCCGCTCTTATGGCTTATGCGAATGTGTGCCTGAATGCTCAGACAATCGCTGGGGGCAGGCGGGCACCGGAAAAATAGATTGCTGATTTCTCGCACCCCGCTTGCGGTATTTTTGCAAAGCAATCAGGACTTTTCGGAAGACCGCTTGCTGAGTCAGCGGATTTTTGAGAGACCGCCTGTTGAATTTTTTTCGCTCTTATCTTTTGCAGATTTATTGCTGAATCTCTGAGGAATCGAGAACTCAGCAAGCGGTCTTCCGAAAAGTCCTGATTGCTTTCCAAAAAATCCGCGAGCGGGGTGCGAGAGATCAGCAATCGTTTTTTCCGGTGCCCGCCTGCCCCCGGCGATTGTCTGAGTGTCAGCATGGAATGTCTGCCGAAACGTATTGGGGAGGGGTGGGAGATTATGGGTGGAGCTCGGTCGTTTTCAAGAAGGTGTCGCAACTCCAGCAGTTACACCCACTTAACTCAAATGCCGTTTCATTTTCATTATAGTTGGAAGGCTTAAAACCTGCTCTTGACATTGAAAATTTTTTGTTGGTCCTTAAAGGCAGCGACTCGGCAGAATGACAACTGTTGGGGTACTCATCTCTCTCGGTTCCTTTGGATGAGAACTCCAAGACTGTGCTAGCTTTGAAAGATGTCAATAGCCCGCTTCTCCAGATGGAAAAGTGCTGTCTAGGCGGGTCACGAAAGTGGCTGCTGGAGCCAATAATCCAATGGCCGCCGAACTGGGTAGGTGTCTCCAGGCACGAGCCAATCGAGCTCTTAGAGGCTTACGCCGTCCTCCCAAATAGCATTTTTCACGTTTGGAAAAGCGGGTTACTGATCTCTTCTGAAGCTGCAAAGCACAATTTTATACTAGCTCAACCAGGGAAACCGAGAACGATGAATATCCCAAAGTTGTCATTCTGCCGAGCCGCTGCCTTTAACCTTTCACCTTTTGGAACGCTTATACCTTTGAGTGTGTGTCACTTCCGGAAATCGCTGTCAAATTTTATGAAACCGTACGTATAGTCATGCATATTGCAAATCGCTCGCACACTTAGAAATGGAATACCCCTCAAGGTACACCAATTTTTCCCAAGACGCTTCTCCTTTCTTTCTACTGTTAAGTTAACCATTCTCGACCATCGACCACAGCATGGCCTTTTGACCCGTGCTTACAAGGGGGATGTCATGTAACTTAGAAACGCGTTTTGAAATGAGACGCATATATTTAAAATCAGGTTCAGGCGCTGATTCCAAATATACCTTCCTAGCTGCGGCACGTCATTCTAAAGCGAGTTATCGATTTTCTTCTGTGCAAAATTTACATACTCTTTAACCTACTAACATTACGGTATCATCACCCAGATGCTGATTGCCTGCCTAAAGTCTCTCGCCGATTACAAAAGGCTCAGTCTGATATAATCAGTATTCCAGCACTGTCGCTAGGCAGATTTCCATCTACAAGCAGTCTTATCATATGGAAAAGTATGGCAATTTCGCACAGAAAAAAGCTCATAACTTCCTTCAGAATAGAGCTCCGCAGCTAGGAACAGCATATTGAAATCAGCGTTCGAAGCTGAATTCAAATATATGTGTCTCATCTCGAAACGCGATTTTAAGTTATCTGACATCTCTTGTCAGATGCAACATCGAAGTAATATGCGTAATGCCTAGCAGTGCACAATTTAAAAATGTGTCGCAGCAGCTTGCTGCATGACTGCACCTATCTCGCGAAACATTTTTCACTCATCAAAATTTAGTTTTTTCAGCCTGCCATTACCACTTTCTTAATGGTAGATTTTATTTTGCCATGGTCTAGCATTGTCGGAAGAATTTTGGCGCTTTCATTTGCTTGCTGTGACACCGCAAAGAAGCGAACCTCAAACACGCGTAAAGGTCTACCCTATGTTTCAACTGGCTTGGCGGCTGGAAGGAGGGGCTTTGTGACCTAATAATTCTAAGTTATGGTCAGAGGGCACGAGCGCGGGAGAGACGCAGACTTCGTCGCGGGGGGCGCGAAGGGCCTTAAAGGCAGTGTCCCGGCAGATTTTGCACCTCCACCTTTTTGCATGTTTTAGGCCTTTTCGTCACGTAGAATCCGAATTTGAGCTTTGAACGGGCTGAAAAGGCCGATTTTGGGGCGTTTTCCTAATTCCAGAAAAGCAGCTTGGACGAGATTTTTAATGGAAAGTTGGGGGAGGTCCTCAGACGAAGATCCTGCCGCCTGTAATTCTTGCTTTGGATAGCATGCATCATGGGGAGAGCGCTCGTGGGGTGCGCCGAACAGGTGGGGAAGGCCGTCCAAGCGCGCGCCAGTTGGGGTTGCGCGCGCCGGTTTAAGGGCCATTTTCTCGACCCAGGAGGAACATCACCCAGCCGGAGTGCGCCTGGAGGGCGATGGGGTGACCAGGAACCCCATCACACGTATATCCCCCAGGACCCGAATCTGCCGGGACACTGCCTTTAATCAGGTCACAAAGCACCGCCTTCCAGCTGCCAAGACACTTGAAACAAAGGTTACTTGGATAAAAAAAAGCAAGCTCTACAAGTCCTTTATTTATGTTCGCGCCGAATTCAGTCCACTTAAGTTAGGAGACCAGAATCTAAAAAGATTGAAACCCGACAATCAAAAAAAATCGGGACCCTTTTTAATGAATTTATACGAAAATCTTATCACGCACATATATTTTATATCAAACATGCATATGTTGCTGCATTTTTTCCTCTGCTAAAAATGAAGAAAACGAAATTCTTTATTTCCCAAAAAATGCTTAGGAGTTCTTACATAAATAACTTTGCACTACAAGCCTTTGTAAAACTGCAATGTTTAGCCGTTTCCTGGGAAAACGCTGATTTTGGCTCTCCTTTTTTGTTTTCTAGGCGGATGTTTCAAGAGCTAGCATTTATAGAAGCTAAAGAAGTAAAAGTTATATACTTACAAAGTTTTGTAGTATAGGATTACTTATGTACAAATGCCCCAGCAATGCATAAAGTAACACGAAAAAAGATATTTTAGTTCTTAGTCAAGGAAAAATAAGAGCAACAGAGTTATGAATGTCTGTGAATGCATGTGCGTCGAGTTAGGGTTTCCGTTAGGATTTCAGGATATTTGGAAAAAATACTATTTTCGTCGACTTTTGTCCCGTTCTTTCCAGAAATTGTTTTAAATTCCGTGCAGAATAGCTTGTCACAAAAGCATGAACGCCTTCTTGTAGAGCTTGCTTTGCCCAAATCTTATCTTCAATTTGGAGGTTTGCTTAGTTGCGGTGCCGAAGCAAGCAAACAAGGGAATAAAAAGAGCCATTATCAGGGTCAAGCAGGGGGTGTGGCACACAATCGCTGGTTACGACCCCCCCTGATTGCTGTCTCAATAAGACCCCCCCCCCTTGAACTATATACCTAAGATAGCTTTACCAGAGTTGAGAAAGAGGTCAGGCACAAGTCTTTCGAAACCCCCACCCCTCTCCCATGAAAGCCCTCAAACGACCCCTTCTTCCTCCTCTTAACCTCTGGACCTCAAAGTGTGACATTCTGGAAAACATCTCTTTTTCTAGAGAGTTTTCAGATTTCTGAGAGCTGTGCGCTCGATTTTCTGTGACCGCACTTCACAATCACACGTAATTTGACGGCTGATTTTGATCTGAATGGGCATATTGAAAGGGCCATAAATCTTATGGCTGGGGCGTTCGGCTCCAAATTTCCAATGTAGCAAGAAGAAGCTATGTGCTCAATACTCATACCAGCAATGGAGCGCTTTCTGTATTTTGAAGGCAAGTAAAGGGGGTGCGGCACACCCCCTTAAAAGCTGCGGCAGCCGCAGCTTTCAAGGGGGTGTGCCGCACCGCATTAACTATATCAAAAAACATTTTTAGCGGACAGTATTTATATGAATCGATAGCCTAAACCTTGTAGATTCCATAGGACTGTTTGGAGCCTGATTTGTCTTCTTAGCTCTAAGTAATATTTGGTGAAAGCACAGCGATCAAAAGCGAAAAATGGGAAAAACGAGATTTTGGTTGGCTTCTAATTCCACCGTTCGCAGGTCTTCTGAAGCGGGATTCTTGGAGTGGACGAAGAAGGAGTAGTGCTTTGTCATAAGTGCAAAAACGGATAGCTAATTCACCTTTGAAACAAAGTTAACCATGTTGGAATTTGACCATTTCATTTAGGTAGCCTAGTATCTTGAATCTTCAGAATTCGCTCAAACTTTGTCTACAGGGGTTAATTGACATGCTATTTATGGATATGATACGAATATCATGTTATCACTAATATCAGAATACCCAACTACGACCCCCTCCCCTTTTGACTCCTCAATACAACCCCCCAGGTCTGGCGTGCCGCACCCCACGCTTGATCCTGGCCATTATCTCTTTAACATCCTAATAGTTCGCTTGCTGTGAATGTGGTATAAATACCTCTTGTACTCACTGTCACTAATACAGCTATGTTATCAAATAAGCCTCTGCATGTCCTTTGACAAAACATAAAACAAACATCTCCTGCAAGGATGCAAAAATCTATCAATGCTTTTTAGGGTTGATTTGGAAAGGAAGGGTGTCGTATTGATGTCTAATCAAAAATAGCCATAAGAATACCTAAAGCTTGATTTAAACACAATGTACTTGCGTTTTTACAGTTAATGTAATTGACTTCCGTCAATTATAGGGCGTGGTTAGAAATAAGCACTAATCTCACTGTTAACTCGACTTCATTTATGAAGGTAGCTTTCGCCTCTTTCATTCAGTAATTTTATGCAGCGTTTTGGCGGAAAGGTAGTCATAGTAACAGGTAATACTGTGATTTTTGTGCAGTTAAAGAGTCTAATAGTTCTTACATCAGATAAACTGCCAAACGCACTTAATAAGCCACTTAAGGTTCTTCGTCAGGCATAGGCGCCGCTACAGCTATTCTTTTCGCAAAGGAAGGTGCAAATGTGACTATCACGGGAAGGAACGAAGAGAACTTAAAGGTGAGAAAGACGATTTCTTGTAGCTCTTTTCAGAAGTAGCGAAATTGTATTTTCTGACTACCTCAAACCAGAAAAAAAACTCTTTAAAGACAATACACGGGCAAGAAGTCGGTCCTGACATCATTTATTTACTTGGGCCTGTTCGCCATGCGTATCTATAAATCCACACTATAAAGCGCGAAGCGGCGGAAAAGACTCTAACGCAGGAGTGGAACCAGCAGGTAGACAAAGTTTTTCACTCTGTGAAGTCACCCTCCCAACTTCCCCGAGCAAGTGTTTGCACTTGACCGGCGAAGTTAGGTTGCTAATGGAAGAGAAGATCGCTTCGCAAGCTGGAAAAATGACCATACAAAGTGGAAGGTCCGCGCACTTGCTGATTTCCGCTGCGTTAGACCTTTTTTGCCGTTTTCGCGCTCTTCAGAGTGGATTTTCGATTGAGCACAGCGAATAGGCCCAGGTACGCACAAAATCTCAAAATCGACTTTTTGCCCGGAAACTGCCTTCAGTTGCAGAATGCTCAGTTGACATGCGTTATCTCGTTGGCAATTACACAATTGAATATTAGTTGAGTACTCTATTATAATCAACTTAGGGTAATAATCTGTCATTATCTGTATTTATGGGAAACAAATCAGCTAATTAGCATTTGAATAAAGGGCAAATTGCTGTAAAACGAAAGCGCTGTTACCGAAACATGATAGAACCCAATAAAGCAAGCGCATTTGAAACGTTTAAAAGTGAGTAATTTATTTTGTGTTGTGCCGGAGATTTTGAACTGAGAAATAACTATTGGTCCTTTACTGGATGCTCGGGGCGGTTTTGTTTTGCTTACTAGACAGGATCAGTTAAACGAAAAAAAAGAGTTTTGGAAGTATCTTGCAGTTGGCATTGGTAGGCAGTTTCGGTCGTATTGATAATAAGTTTGGTATATCAAGCGACTTAGAAAACACACGATTCTATCGTCAATGCCGGTGTCAATGAAGATCACACGCTCTGTGTACTTGCTGATTTGACGGATGCGAACGATCGCAAAAAGCTCATCGATAGTACCATTTCGAAGTGGGGTCGCTTAAATATTCTTGTGAGTTGACGCTGTCTCTCATAAAATCCAGATAAATGTAGTGGTAGTCCAGGTAAATAGCGCTGGCGCCTCCATAACTCATGGCAAGGAAGGGTTTGAAGCTAGTGAAGACTCTTACAAGGAGACAATGGAAATAAATTTGAACAGGTATTGAATGTTGTTTTTGTGCAAGCCCATTCGTGCTCGAACTTCTATATTGACTACTTATTATAATGGTATGCAGTATACCAAATCAGAGTCAGGACATCAATCTTACAGCTGTTTCGCCATCAATAACGTCTGTCATTCAAATCAAGGAATATGTTGTCGAGTTAACTACAGATTAGGCGAATGCAAGAAAAATTGACACTACCACGTTTTAGTAACAACATCACTTTTCATACGCATATTAATTGCTTACATTCAAACTTAGTGAATCATCAATGTGCCAGTATCCTCATTCCAGCTTGACAACATTGTTTTCGGATTTCAGACGTGGTCCATGCGCAACAGATGTGGAATGAACTGAGTGGTAGCACTCAGGATAAGAATAAAGACAACGGCTGCGCGAACTGGGAGTTCTAGAGTTTGTTTTGACACATGAAGAGCCTCTAGATGACTCGCATAAGCTCGAAAGTATGACATATACTCTAACCATAAAACTTTTTGGAAGATTGACTTGAGCCACTCCCTGCGGCTACTACAGATCTTGCAGATTTTTTTTCTAACGCTAGAGTACGCTTGCTGCAAGTTATGAAGGGTAAGGGTCATCAAGGGCATACTACTATGCCTTAATCTTGGCGGGCGGCATCTCTTCTTTAGATCCATCTTGAAGGTTCTAGAACAAGTGTATCCTGCCATCGCTTTCCACCATGCATTTACGGACAAGCGCAAAGGACCTGAAAGTGATCTGGTAAACCATACGTAGTCGGTTGTTTCCACCCCAAATAAATAGCTTTCATTTTGCAGACTATTCTTCTCCTGAAGAAATTATTGATCAAGCGATTGCAAACGGTTGCTAAGGGAGCCTCCAGACCGCGCCGGGACCGCGCCGGTTGTCGCCTTTGCAGCCGATAGCTGCTTTCGCGCCAATTGCCGCTATTGCAGCTGAAGCGCACTGTGCCAGATGTTGTCCTTGGAGCGTAAGAGCCTATTGGCACTAAATGCTAGGCTTTCAACTCCTTTGTCAACACTCTTTTGCTTCCAAAGTTCTCTTCTTTGCTGTAACATTGCAGATATGGTTCATTTGATTTGGATTCCGTTTTTTCGTTCGTCTACGATGCTGGAAAACTCGATTCATTGTCGAGTGAAACCCTTTCAGTCTAAATCCCGCTGTAGAGCTACTGCAAGGCAAAACCTCGACATCTTTCTCGTCTTGAAACTGGTTTACTATGCTGGATGAGCGTGTTGCGAATGTACTTTCTTTGTTTTTGAAGCTGTTCCATCATGCCGTAGGAGCGATTTGACTGCAAAACTCAAATTCTCTGTACTATTTTTGCTTTTGGTACTTCACTACGCCGACTAACGATCTATCCTAAGCGGAGTCATTTGGTGCCTTCTCCTCCTCTATTCAAGGTTTATACCGCTTACTTCAGCATAGTAAAGCTAACTTCGAGTAGTTAAACGAAACTTAGATCAGTAAGTGTACCTTCAAGCAGTATAGTAAAATAGCTTCAAAATTAGAAAGTGCAAAAACAGCATTTTGCAACGATATCGTTCACTCAACATAGTAGACCAACCTCAAATCGGAAAAGACATCGAAAAACCTTGCCTGCGCAACCACACAGCAGAGCATTATCAACAAAACGAAAGCTTTGCAAAAAAACAACGTTCCGCAAAGATCTATGAGCTTCCAGATTTGTGTGGGGGCGTGTTGCGGGCTTTCCCTGATTTTAATGATAAAGTTAACGAGAGAGTACGAAAAACAATGCTGCATGAAGTTTCCACAAGTTCACACATTCAGGGAAGTCCGCAATTCGATGACTCCTAATAGAAGTAGCATAGCTTCAAAACTAAAGACAAATTCAAAGAAACTCAACCACCGTAAAAGAATAGCCTGGAAATGAATGAAAGACAAAACTCCGTTCATCACTTTTTTTACCTAAAGTAACAGCTCTACAGCGGGAGGTAGATTGAATATTCGACAATGATTCGATTACTCCAGCATCTTAAAACCTGCAATGAATTACTTAAGGAAAGAAGAGGATCTTGAAAGCAAAAGAGTGGTGGCAAAAGAGCCGAAAAGTCTAGTATTTAGTGCCAGTAGGCTCTCGCAAGCCCCAAGAACAAAATCCGACACGGTGCGCTTCAGCTGCAATAGCGGCAACCGGCGCGAAAGCAGCTACTGGCTGCAAAAGCGACAACCGGCGCGGTCTCGGCGCGGTCTGGAGGCTCCCTAAGTAGTAAAGTTATGACAGTTGTTGAATTCGGGCTAACATTACTATTTTTATCCTGAAGTTTTGAAAAAGCAGATTCCCACAAGGTTAGATTCGCCTTTTGAGATGAAACAATATATTTGGAATATTCTGAAGCTTCAAAGCCGGTTTTCAAACATGCTGTTCCTATCTGCTTAGCGTTATTCCAAAGCGAGTTATGGGCTTGCTGTGGTGAGTAGCTAACGAATTTCTGAATGTCGTAAGACGGCATGTAGATAAGAATGTGCTCGAAAAAAGTGCTAGGATGTTAAACTAGCTTCAGGTTAATTCTTTCAATCTTGAAAGTAAGCATTATACAATTGCAAAACCCCCTAGAGGTTGACACCGTCGCATCAGTAAGTCGAGCCGCACGCAAACTTTGCATAGAAAAAAGACCATAACTGGCCCTAGAATAACGCTAGCAGCTAGGAACAGCATATTTGAAATCGGCTTTCTGTGCTGATTTCAAAAATATGTGTCTCATCTCAAAAGGCGAATCTAGATCGGTATCCTTCCTTTGTCAGTTGAGCTGGTTTTACCACTCAATCGCATTTGACACGCTGTCGCGGCAAATTTTGCATGAAAAGGAGTTTAAAACTAGTGATTTAAGCGCTTTCAAGAGCTTTGATGCGCTTGCTCTTGCTTCCGACGAAATCTGGCGGAACGCATAAGCTCAAATAACACTGGACTTTGTCAACGTTCAAAATAACACATCCAACTCCGTAGTCGCGTAATTTCTCTTCTTCTCTCCCTCTGTTTGTTGCTGCTATATCGCTAGGCAAAGCAGAAAAGTGTTTTGTGTGTTGTGTTTGTGTTGTGTTTAAGTGTTTTCTTATAGTTCCGGAGCTGTAATCTTAAACGTCCTAGCCGACAGTTTGAAAAGAGGCAGTGAAGTAATGTGAAAGCGGAGTGGCGTAGGGATATGAAGCACAGCCGGGTCTGACCAAAATTCAATCCCTCCTTTTCATCCTAGTTCGCTACTTTCGGAGGATGATAAATTGGTATTAGGGTAATTTGTGCGGGTACAGCACTACTTGGTGATTTTCTTGCGCAAATTATCGTGAAGGCTCTCACGCATCTAATCGCTTCCTCTACTACGAAGGGCCCGTAGAGGGTTCAAAGACGCCGAATCCCTTATCTTTTCTATACAGTTTTTTATAGGATACGATTGTGTTTCAGCATCTTGTCAAAAGTCTGCACGAACAATCATTTCAGTGTGCTCCAAATGGTGCAACTAGCACGACCTTATCTCATCAAGAGTGAAGGAGAAGTTGTTAATGTTAGCAGCATTTCGGGATTGCAATTCGGAGTTAGCAATTATTCAACTGCATTTTTCTGCCCAAAAATTACCCCACTCAGATCGTGCTGACCCCATACTATGCGATTTCAAAAGCAGGTCTGGATCAGCTTACAAGAGCTCTTGCGATCGACCTAATTCAGTATGGTGTGCGTGTCAATGGTGTCAGGTAATACTAAGAGATTTTTCTTTTCTATAGGATAAGTTGTAATCTTTAGCCCTGGCCTAGTCAAGACAAGTTTCGCCGAAAGAACGGGTTTAACTAAAGAACAATCGGACAAGGCAAGTGCTTGGAATCTTACTGGCTTTTACAGGCTCAAAAATATTTTCCAGTTGCACGACTTTTACGGAAGTGAGAAGCATTCCTGCCCACGAGGGAAATATGCGGAACCCAGCGAAATAGCTAACGTAATTGCATTCTTGGCAGATCGCCAAATATCATCGTTTATTGTTGGACAATCCATTGTGGTCGACGGAGGAATGTCACTGATTATGGGTGCATATGCGTTCGATTACAAAAAGGTGATCTCGACCTGAAAAATCAAAAGCGGTGATTTTTCTTAAGAGACTCTCGACATGGTTTTTTCTTTGAGCAAACATGTTTTCGAAAAGAAGCTTTTGCATGCGTGTACTGTTCCTCTCTTTGACCTTCTTCTTCGTCTTGGTTTGTCCTGCTTCTTCCCTAGTGTTTGATGTTGTTGCCAATTGGCTAACACATAATCACAGAACACCAATTCAAAAAGCAGGTAAACGTTGAAGCTGAAAAGTAACAGAAATTCAATTTGGGCGCAAACGTGAGCAATTGTGAAGTGGATTTCACGACTAATGCAAGACCTGCGAGCCTAGCAAATGTAGCGAAATAAATGCTGGGCAAAAAAAGTACATCGAGTTATTCAGCGATATCACTTAAATTTCTACCAGTCACAGTATCATGAGGCTTGTATAAACCAAGTATGATTAAAATATAATTAGATCTCCCATCAAAGATTCTTGAAACTCAGAACGTGCAAAGTAGGCAAATCCAGAATCTCATCACTTACTGACTATTATAAAAACATCTTACGTAAAAGCTACTGAAAAAAGACACTCAGCAACTGTCTTGCGCAGAGGAGGAGGAATGAAAAAGTGAGAAACTCTTGCTTGCAAAATCAAAGCTTTCTAAATGGATGTGTTGTTTGGTCGCCAGGATAATCTGTGTACCCTATTTTCAGATGTACAAACCGCAGGGAATTTTTTTTCTAGAATCGACCAGCGTAGACAGGCCAGAAGACTTTGCGACTAAAGGACCCTATGGCCCGTAGTAAACCCCATTCATCTCAGGTGACTTGAGATGAATCATTCTTCGAGAACGCACTAGATCTTTGGGTCTGAAAAGCGATCCGAATCCGGATCGATGGCTCACCGGATGCCGGACTGAGGCGCTCTACGTTCAACATAGGCCCGCCCCCAGCCGAGTTGGGCTGAGAGGGGGTTTACTACGGGCCTATATGTGCTACGTATTGCTTTAAAGAATCGTGCTTCATAAGAGTTCCTAACATAGTGGAGCGGCTGAGCAGCTCGCTTGAAAATTTGAAAAAGTGCGGCTTATACACCTGAAAATAGGGTAATTACTGAGGTTTTTGGCCAAACCTCAACATTACAAGATTGAGCACACTGTTGAGCCTCAGAACTTGGCTTCCACCTCCCAAAGTTGTTAGGTCGCGTGGTGATATTTGGCGTAATCGTGGAAGGTACGTCTCAAATTGAGATTCTCAATTTTGACCCGTTTCCAAAGGTTTGGTTTATCAGTAATATCTGAAAATGAATATCAGCACTTACAGACAGAGAAGGTTTGACGGTTCTGCGATAAGAGCTGCAATTCTTCCTAAGTTATGATAAGAGGATCTTGCGTTTTCTTGGCAATTATCTGGGCTAAAAAGATTTCGTTTCGATTTCTTTTTTTTTAGATTTTGTAAAATGGGCAATGCGGAGTGTCGTATGGAAAACCTTTTTTTGTGACTTTGCGAAACACAAGCACTCGATGTGGCCAATATTGAATCAAGACTTCCGGTGCAACACAAACTCTGAATAGGCTTATCACTTTTGGAACTTACATGGGAACGATACTTGGTGTCCGTGGCTTTTTGAGATAAGATGCATACCATTACACTCGTCTTCCAGCGCTGATTCCGAATCTGACTTTCGTTTTTGCTAATCGTAACTTGGAAAAAAGTTATGAAGGATTTTCGCGCCAAAGGAGATGTGGTCGAAATGCCAAAATCGCCGCAAAGTGTGGTGTATTGGCTAGTGCGATAGCCTCGCAAGTTGATGCAGGTTTAGGTTCGAGTCCTTTTGTGTTTTTAAGTTTTGTATTGCCTCTCAAGCTTCTTTTCAAAAACTAGCCATCCTCGACCTTATTTCTTTTAGGCGACCATTGACGCAAAAATCCCTCATAACTTCTTCTAAACAAACGATTAGCAGAAACGGAAGTCAATTTGGAATCAGCGTCCCAAGACGAGTGTGATGGTATACGTTTCATTTCAAAAGTCCACGGACGCCAAATATCGTTTCCTTGTTAGTGGTTTCAATCCAGAAGTAGTGTTAAACCATGATCTCACCGGTCATAGCGGCGCCGGTAGGGGACTACTATATGTCGCCGTTCTTGCCGCACATCTGTAACAAATACACGTTCCAATACATGCACAGGCTGAGTATCTCTGCATCATCCGCGCCGGACCCTCCTACTTTCGGTGACATATAGTCCTCCAACCAGCGGTGCCTCTTACCAACCGCCATTCGCCTATAAGCCGCAACACATTAGTGTGGTTTTGATAACTGCCAAGACTCAACAAGTGACAAACTTTTTACTTACAGTACTCATCACACTTGTTTGCTAATCTCAATTTGCGCCGATTTGCATTACAACAAGCACATGAACCTTTTTGATGTAATTGTTTTATAATCAGAATCGTTTCACCTGATTGCAAGGACTTTCTTATAACAATTTTTACAGCGTCAATAAATTAATTCACAACTTGATTGCTTGATATATAAATAATCAAAATCGTTTGAGCGAAGAAATCTGGAGAGATCGATCATCGACTTTTGCAGCACATTCCACCGCATTGCGTGTAGCCCGTGTTACAACCGCAGCCTCCGTCAAACGAACGACAGGGCATCTATAAAAGATGTTAGTGTGATCTAGTTTTGATAGGCAAAACTTGCTTGACGGCTAAGCGATTTTTTAACTGAATTTCCTAGCAAATGTGCAAAGGCAAACATAGAGCTAAATTTGAACGATCAGCTACTGGGTAAACAATCCTAAAAATTACTTGAGAATTTCTTACCTGATCCATCATGGGCATCATAATAAACGCCTTTTTGCAAAAATGCGGACACCTTTTGACACACATGGCGATGCATTCTGGTGAAGAGCACATATCATAGCAACGGTGTCGGCAAATCGGCAAGCATTTCAGTGGGGTGATGAGAGGTGATTCGATTATCACTGGTTGAGACAGAGGTATAGCTATGGCCTGCGGTAAAGGCACGGGCACTTGAACGTTTTGTTGTGCGGGAGCTGGAGCAGGGAAATCTTGTTGCACGGGTGATGGCACTGGCGCAGCGCTGGTTGATGGTGACGGTGGTGGAGATAGAGGGGTAAGTGTTGGGAGTGGCGGTGGTGGGGCGGGTGTCGTCGTTGGCACTGGAGATAAAGTCGCCGGTTGTAATGCTGCTTCTGTTACCACGATGGGCGTAGAAAGTGGACAACAAGAGCCACAAACACTAGGACAAGAGCGTATGCAGATGTTCAGGCAGAAATGTGTCGGGCACAGTTTACGGCAGGCGCTTTCGCACATTGGTAGGCAGTTCATCGGTGTAATTGGGGAGTTTGGCGAGAAAGGGAAATCTGATTGCACTACTGGCTGTAGTGCAGGAGAAGCTTGCGGAGGGAAGTCCGATCGCACTGCAGGCTCTAGTGCTGGCGAAGTGTGCGGGGGGAAGTCTGATTGCACTACAGGCTGTGGTGCAGGTGAAGCCTGCTGAGGGAAGTCTGATTGTACTACCGGTTGTAGTACAGGCGAAGCTTGCGGAGGGAAGCCTGACTGCATCAAAGGTTGTACTGCAGGAGAAAACTGCGGCAGCATCCCCAGCTGCGCAAAGATTGCTTCCTGTGCTCGAGGCATGGGTTGTATTGGCATCACTGAGTACTGTGGTTGAGGTATTGGTAGAGGTTGCGGGGTTGTCACCGATTCAGGTAATGATTGAGATTGCGCTACGAACGGCAGTGCTTGTGGCTGAGCGGGCGATGGAGTATACGTAAGTGATGGAACAGGGGCTGGCGCATCAAATGATGGTACAATAGAAGTTTGGTTTGGTAGTCCACAGCGGGTACAGCATGTTTTAATGCATTCTGAAATGATTTTGGATTTGTTTATACGGACCTGTCAGTTGAACAGATGTAAATTTTGTACCAGTGATGCAATCTTGACTCTTGCATTGGGGCATACACTGACCAATACATTGATCGAAACAAGCAGTTGCTGTTTGTTGTCGTGGATTTCGAGAGCTTTTTGGTTTTTGCTAAAAGTGATTCTAATCAAACCCTTTGCTTGAGACTTTTCGTAAACTAATTTAAAAGAGAATAATGAACAAGAGGAAGGATTTGGAATAAGAAGAAATTGGCTCGCCTGAGATAGTTTGACCGTAGATGGTTCATAGCTTGCACGACTCAGCGAGGTTTGCGTGAGTACTAGAAATGTAAGCCAGTTGAGTATCGAAATCATTGTTGAAGCTGCTCTGTTTGGGTGCACCCACCAACCGCTTTTATATGGTCCATTCGTATCTCGCCGTAAGAAGTGAGTGTGCTCTAAGCGGACTGGCTCGCTTGTACACAAAAAGTAGCGAAAGTTGACGGGGAACCCCTGTTTAAACTAGCTTTCGGTGATTTTCTGCAACATCCCTTCATATAATCTCGTAAATATTGTCGCTTCATGAGTCTGGGATTGCCTTGTTAGACAGCAATTGCCTTTGGAAACTCAAAAAACCCCACGTAGTGCTGATCTTATTTTCCTGAAAATCGAATCTATGATAAGGTAATAGATCTCCTGTTGAAACCTTGACATACATAGCCTCGATATTGAAAGCTTACGTCCAAGAAAAGGAAACTTGAACTCCTTATAGAAAGCCGCATTTGTCCGCTTTTGCTTTTATGTTTGTTTTGGTACTAATTACTGGCATTACATCATTCTGCGTTCTTGAATCGAATATACTTTTTCGTGACAAGTTATTATAGTAATATTTTGATTATCTCCTCTGATCATTCGAGTAATAGCGGATATAACCGACTTGCATGATATTTTAGTAGTAATTAGAGTAAATTTGAAGTCAGTTTGTGCTTGTGCACATAAATTGACAAGCAGTTCACTTTCTGCTTGGAAGGAATTCGATAGCTGAAGATGAAAGATTGTTAGTATTATAGTTGGTGTTACACTTTGTAACCACTATTTATTTTTCCCCTAAGATTCAAAGCATTGCAAACCTTAGTTGTTTTTCCTCCGAAAAAATTTCCTGCCTATAAGCAATCATTCTTTTAACAAGTGGCGTATGTTTTTATTACACAAAAACAAAAGTCACTTCTTTTAAAATACTCATGTTTAAGGCTGCCGCTATTGATACTTGTCATAGTCATTTCTTTATGAACTTGTTTGACGTATTGCTGATAAGCAGGTGATGATTTAGGATGATCCCAAAGCGTACTTCAGACTTTTGATATATAAGACCCAAGTTCAAGCCTTTATTGATTGATAAGCTTATATTTCTGTTTATATATTATTTTATTGGTTGTTTGTTTTTATTTTTACAGTTAAAGAGCAAGTTCAAATTTAAGGCTTAAGGACGAGGGGAAAAGGCTCATTTTTGAGCCAAATTTCATACGAGCAAGCACTCACCGTTAGTGCATATACATGCATGAATTGGCTTTGTTGGTTCAGTACTTGAAGAAGAACGGGTAAGTCTTAAATAGTGAAGTTAAAATTATCTGTATTATTATGTGATCTGTAGACCACCCTCGCGGGGGAACGGAACTTACATACACCAAAAGGCTTGCCGCCGCGTAGTTGGCGGAGTTTGTGAGAGGTCATGAACTGGCAGCAACACTAATTTGCAACCGATTTGCCTCGCAGAGCTGATTCTGCACACGGTAACTCCGTCATCATCATGCAATCTATGAAACTTGGAATCCTATTAAGATTTCGAATTCAAAGTTCAGTAGTAAATCAAGTCCAATTAGACTGAAATTTTGTACGTAGGGGTATTCTGTCATGCTGATTCCGAATATGATGGTAATTTCGCTTAGAACTTGAAATTGTTTTCTTTTTGCATTCTAAGCTTGTTTTCACAAATTTTCGGCAAAAATTTAAAAATTGCAATTTATGGGTTTTCTGACATGCTGCTTCCACATATGATGGTCGTTTCGCCTAAAAAGTCAAAATTTTTTTTTGCATCTTGAATTTCTTTTTGTAAAGTTCATTGCAAATTTGTTAAAACTGGAAAATAAACGAAAAAAAATCTGCTACGTCCAGAAAATAAAAGCATGTCGGAAAAGCCCTGATATCAATTTTGAAATTGTTGCCGGAAAACTTGTGAAAACAAGTTTGGAAATCAAGAAGAAATTTCAAATTTTCCAACGAAACCACCATCATATCGGCAGCATGTCAAGAAACCCTTATAATGCAATCTTGAATTTTTGCCGGAATTTTTTGAAAACAAGTTTGGAATTCAAAAAGAAAAAATTTCAAGGTTTTAAGCGAAACCACTATCATATATGGAATCAGCATGACAAAATACCCCTACATACAAATTTTTAGCCCAATTGGACTTGATTTACTACTGAACTTTGAATTCGAAATTTTAATAAGATCCCAGTTTCATAGACTGTATGATGATGACGGAGTTACTGTGGGCAGAATCAGCTCGTCTACGGTGCAAATCGGGTGCAAATTAATGTTGCTGCCAGTTCATGACCTCTCACGAACTCCACTACCTAACTACGCGGCGGCACGCCTTTCGGTGTATGTAAGTTCCCTCACCCCTCTCGCGTACTTTGTCTTTGTACCAAAAAACGAATAATTCGATTGTTTCTACTTTTTGCACTGATTCTATCTCAAGTTGGTGACATACCTTTTACTACCTTATAATTCCTCTTTTTCAAAATTATATATCTTTGATATTTCAAGTTTGCACCTCCAAGAAATAGTCTTTTTGTGAGTACGATGTGCATTTAACGATGTGCCAACCATAACAAAGTAAATTCACCCCACAATAAACTGGAGTGCCGCTCTAATTCAGCTTTTCCTACTGTTGTTTGATATTGCACGTACAGGTATAAGCTTTATCACTTGCTTACTTGAATGAAGTCAAAGAACTGGAACAGCTATTATTTTTGACAACTCAGAGTGAATTTTCATATCTATATATGGTATATGGTCAATAACATTTCCCGTATGTATTTGCTCAGTGACATTTGAAATCTACTCAAACATGAGAGAACGCTTTAGCATTCATGTGAAAATTGGAGTCAAACATTTGCACCTGCACTCCACGAGCCACTTCACGCAAAGTGTTCCGAATTTTTACAACTGGCAAAATAAACAGAAAGTAAGGAGCGGGGTAAGCACTAATTTTTAGAAACATTGTATTTTGTAATTTGTACTCTTATTTGCATGATGGTGGCTCTTTATTGTCGAATGGTATCTTATGAGCATATTGCTAAGAATTGTAAGCTTATTGTTTAAAAAATCTTGCAACTCACTATGGCTATGTGGGAACCGACCTGGCGCTACATTTGTGAGCTACGTGGATTCCTTCATCACACAAAAAGTTTTAAGTTCGAGACATAATGCATGTATTATTCTCCTCGTCTTTCTTGAAGTTTAGAGAAATTTTTGTCAAGGACCAAGCGGTCTGCTCACATTTCTCCGCTTTTTGTACAGGGAGCAGTAAGAAACCGGTTTCGTGCTTGAGATTGTGGGGCGAGCACCAGACAGGCTATGACACCGGCCACTCGTGGAAACCTTTTTATTTTCTTGAGAAGTTTAACTTTAAAAAGGTGATCATTCTTGTTTTAACCGCTCTTTGGAGCCAGCCGCCAACGACCTGACAAAATAACAGCTACGCGAGACTACGCAAGTTTCTCCAAATTTCGCGGTCCAAGAATTAGGAAAATTACGATTGTGGAGTTAATTTGGTAAGTTGATGTTTGGAGGTTGTCATTCATTTTCAGCTCAAATTGATGGAAGGCGATATTATTTAGCGAGTCGGACAAGACAAATAGCACTGCAACCGCCGCAATCAGAATTTTCCATGCGGGTTTTATGATTGACTTCCGCTGTAGTTATGCGGATTTTTATAGCTCAAACCAAAAGATTTTCTGCCTAGTGATTTGGTACAGTCGACTGATGAGTAGAAAAGTAGATTTGGGTAGCCTACTGATATTACACGCATAACGTGAACAGAAAACGTTTTAAGTCCAAATTTTAATCAAGTTCTGCTCTAATGATACAATATTTTATTCGAAAAACTTCATTCACCTTTTACCCCAGACAGACGCCTGCTGAAAAAGTGAATGAAATATTCAAGGCGCGACGATTTCGTAATTATTTTTTGGCCATGTGTCAAAGGTTGCCAGGCGCCACGGACATTTCATATCTTCCTGCTATCTACACCTACTACTCCGTTTCTTTGATTAGAGTCGTTCCAAAGGTTCTGTCTATCAAACTATCACAAAAACAAGAAGGTTGAGCAAACGTTTAATTTCCCCTGTTAATCATGTTTTAAAGTGGTTACTCTCATGGTCACCAAGATAATCGTCGAA